ATGTAATTGTCAAAGACAAATATAATTTCATGGCCTTAGAGATAATAGAAGATGGCGATTCTCTAATAATACCTAATGAAAAAGAGTGAGAAAAAGTAACAGTAATTCACGAGGAAAAGAAAGAAGATGAAGTTAGCGAGCAAGATTTTACTACTAGCGGTAGCACCACCCCAGTGGAAAAAGAAGGAACGGGAATAAGTCTCAACAAAAAAGAGTTATTAGACAATAAAAACTGATTAATCTCAGTTAATCCTTTCAACCAAAAAGGAGAAACCTTAACTTTGGCTATTTTGGCTTCCAAGGGTAGGGGTAATATTCGCTATCGTAAAGGTTTATTATTAGTTAACTTATCAGGCAAAGATATTCAACAAAAATTTCTGCTGGCTAGTGAGAAGAAAGCATTAGAAGAAAAAGTAAATGACTTGTTAGTTAAAAGTGCCAACCCAGAAAATTGCTTGGAAGAATTAAAAAACTCTGCCGAAGAGAAATTGGTAAGTTTGCAAGAACAAAAATTAGAAAATCAAATTGAAATAACTCTAAAATAACTGTTTAAAAAGTCTCAAATTAAGTTAAATCAATGGTGTGTCTATGAATAAAAAAGAAATAACTGACCTCCGCCCGCTCTTGCGTATGAAGGATTTACTCAAAAAGGCTTTACAAAATGTGGAAGATGAATTAGATGAAATGGCTGCCGTGCAAGCCTTTGAAGTTAGTTATGAATTGGCTTGACATACTTTACAAAAGGTGCTAAATCAGCAAGGAGCCCAAGTCCGTAATCCTCGCGAAACTTTCCGTTTAGCCGCCCAATGAGGTTATTTAGAAGACCCCGAAGTCTGATTTAATTTTGGTAGAGAAAGAAATTTAACTTCTCATACTTATCAAGAAGACATTTTAACCGCTATTTATAATCTATTACCTAATTTTCTACAAGAATTCGAAAAACTTATTACCAAATTGCAAGAAAAAAATTTTTAATAGGACTTATGAATTTGAAAATAGAAAATAGGCACTTGTATATTCTTAAACAAATCCTATCTAAATATCCTTATCAGTTCTATGCTTATGGTTCGCGAGCAAAAGGAACTGCCTGAAAATTTTCCGATTTAGATATTTGTTATCAAGAAAATATTCC